AGGATTTCAGTTCAATCAATAGCGGCTTATTTCACACCTCTACTTCATAATCGAGCAAAGAACCATGATAGCTTGATCTTGGGGTGTGCCTCTGAAGGTCTAAATTGCAGTGAATCAGATAAATTCGCATTTTTTGGGGTTCAAAGCCATGGAAGCTGACGATACCCAGCCAATCTCTGTCGCTGCATGCTGCTGTAAACAGGCGTTATGACACGCTGCGCAACCGCACGCGACCAGTTGCGATTTTTTCACACAAAACTGAATTTTCTTCAGGAAACCTCCCAATACTAAAAGGTTTCAGACTGTGCATCCCACGAGAGGCCATAGTTGGAGAGGATCAACATCTACAGAGACCAGCTTAGCAGGTTCCCACAAAGGCATCTGAACGGGTGAAGGGTGGGAGGAGGGGTGGAACTTTGTACAGTACAGTTTTCATTCGATTAGTGTACATTTCGAAAGGAAGCAGAAGCTATTCTTGGCAATGTTCCAGACGTTGTCGTTATCATTTAAACCTTTGAAATCTCCAAATAACTAGATTGAAGGATCAATTTTACCTCGTCGTTGTCCTTCAGCTGGTAACGAACACTCTTCATAGGAATTCCAAAGCGATTTGTCGCGCGAGCGGTGAAGACGTGGTTTTCTGGGCGGCAGTCTCCGGAACAAGGACCACGTACGAAGGGAGGACGAAGAATGGCGCGGACCCGGACCAAGATTGCAATATGATGGAGACTTTCACCGCAAGCAGGGTGGTCCTGAAAATGCAAGTCCACATTGAGCAACATGTCGACTATTTAGCGAGGAACGAAGCCTACCTTGGACTGGTCCCGTGATCCTTCGCTTCAACATACACAGTCCATCGACCATCGACATGTCTGCTCAGCTGCTCATCGTCCCACTGATTAAACATCAGCGCACCGCTTTCGGGTCCCACAGAGAAGATACCGTAGTCATCTCCAGATAGAATACGGTAGCTAACACGGCCATTGTCGCCGTTGTCCGCGTCTGTGGCCAAAAGCCTGGAAAATGCTTATGATTGAAGGCAAAGGCGGGACCCAGGAAATCGAGAGCCGTAGGCCAGAAGAAAGCCACTGGAGTTAGATTGGTGAGGGAGTTTGACCAGTATCTAGGTCCTAAAAGACCTGGAGTTCGTGTTTCGCACTGACGTAACTTCAATGCAAGCCCCAACAAACTACTGAGGCGCCGGCCTTTCCGAAAAACCCATTGCTACATCAAGTTAAAGCTTATCAACTCCATTTCCATGATGTTCTCTTCTCAGAATAGGCCATTCAAACTTCAAAAGTGCCCTCCAGGACGACTTTAGACCAGAGAGAAGTATACGGAAACGTACCTCGAAGCACCTCACCCCACTTCGCCATTGCCATCCTCGAACTGTGGGACGGAGTATCTTGAACTGAACGAACTATCGCGAATTGTCTGTTAGCGTCCGAGACACTACCCGTTGACCATTGTCCCGTGAATCTCCTGGTAGACCAGAGTTGCGAAGCCAACATAGGACTGTAAAAATTATCTCTCGGTAAAAATGTTTCAAGACCATCTTTTCATATATATATCCATAACATTGATGGCAACTCCGCGTGCGTGTGGTCGGTCCCGTTAGAACCAGGCGCGTCATGCAGCAGATGGCAAACAGCAAAGGTTAGCGGAACGAGTCCGCAAGCGCGTGTGGTGCGATGTGAGATCGAATAAATTGTTAGAACTATATTTGACCTGAAGCCAAACTGAACACGGGTACGTCTCCGCATTTCGCTCGCTATCGCGCCGCGTCCTCTTGCTCATCTCGCGCGTCGTGAAATCGGCCCTCTCTTTCGGGTATCCTTGTGTTCCAAAACTTTGTTTCGATTATATTTTTCTTTCGAAATTGCATCAGTAACCCTGTAAATAATCCGTTGCCAGTAAAATGGAAAACAATTACTTTTAATGCGAATCGATCATCCAGTAATGGAAACACTAGTTATAATGAAGATCGACAGTTTTAGAACATAAAAAAGCCAAGCAAGACGAACTAAATGAGTGTCATGCATGTGAAAATGCGACGCACATGCGCGTCGCGCTGGTGGCGGGTATGCGCTGGGCGTGATGCGGGCCTTTTTTGCAGGAGCTCAGCTTATGCCTGCCAAATTGGCGATTTTGTGTTGATGGGAGCCCATCAACTTTTGTATGATGCCCATCAACTTGAATGAAATAGTAAAGAAAAAATGAAATGAATTATATGCTTTGCAAGAGAGGAGACTTACAGCAAAGTTATAGAGTTCCTTGGTTTCTCGATCGAGCCCGGCCTTCAGTGAGAGACGTCCCTAACTGGTCAATGTCGAACACATCGGATGCCTTTGCATCCATGATACGGTAGAAGTACGGAAGCTGACCAACGGATACGTTTCCAAATACGATGTGCAACGGAAGAGATTCGGAGACCACGAAGCTGGAAAACGTCCCATCAAAAAAGCGGAAATTGGGAAAAAATCAAAGAGAAAATCAAAAAATAGGACGAAAAGTAGGAAAGCTGTGTCACCCATGCATGGAGTAGGCGATTGAAGAGAAAATAAAGATAGAGGAGAATGAAAAAGAAAAAAAGCTGGTGGGCTATCATCATCAGAAACTTACTCATAAGTGGGATAGGGAAATTGAGGACGTTGCTGAGTTTCCTCCTTGGTAACTGTGATCCTGACTGGAATCGTCGACGACAACACCGGTGTACCGTGGTCGCTTGCGGTCACGGTAAGCAGATACTCTTGCTGGTTCGTCAATGGTTGCACCAAGGTCAGAGAGCCTGAAGAATTACCTTGTAATCGATTTTCGCAAGGCAAAAACTGGAGCCGCCTAGGGCAAGTAGCCTACTTACCGTCATTGCTATCCAACCGGAAAACTCCATACGATTCGGCCAAGGAATACGAGACCCGTCCGTTTTCTCCAGAATCACGATCGAAAGCTATCAGCTTGGCTAGCACCTCGTCGACTTTCGTGGTCTGGGAAATCTAAATTCCATGTTGAGATTATGGCAATCTGTTGGGTCTGACACAGTAATATTTTCTTTAGATTATGGCTTGTTACTTTTTCATTTCTAAGCCCTCCTAATGAAAAAATTACATCTCGATTATTAAATTTAAATTATGTTAGTATTGCAATTCATACTGATCAAGTAAGATGGTAGGATCACTACCTGGGAAGTC